CACGGCGCAGTCGTTGTGCGGGGCAGTGCAGGCACAGCGCAGCGGGGAAGAGTGGTCCTTAGCCAGGACCTGGGCCAGCAAAGGCTGGGGTGCACAAACTTAATTATTAAGCAATTCCCACTGAGTTTTGCCCAGATGACATCCTCAGGGGAAAGGTAAAGGTCTGACTTGTTGGGAAAGATCCAAGTCTGGTTGTTGCACCGATTAAACTGGGTTTAGCTGCAGGGTGCAGTGTAAGGAGGCAGGGGATGAGTTCACGGCTTCTCCATCCTCAGTCGCTCCTGGTTCTTTGCTCCCCCTTCACTCAGTTTCTGTTTCATTGCAGCAGGATTCCCAAAAAAGGTTTTGTCGAAGTGACTGAGCTAACGGACATCAACTACAACAGCAACTTGGTACGCCTGAGGCCGGGTCACATGAACGTGGTCTTGATCCTGTCCAACGCCACCAAAACCGCCCTCCTCCAGAAGTTTGCCCTGGAAGTCTACACGTTCACAGGGTAGGCAGGGGCCCTCTCCTGGGTTTCTGTGACTGTTTTCACAATGTGTGTAACGCTGCCCTGGTGAAAAGTTAGGAGTGGGGTTGGCTTGACTGCCAGGAGGGAACAGTTCTGACGAGGAAAGCCGCCTCTGCACTCATTAGTGGCAACGAGCCACTAAAAACCGAGCGGCCTTTCCCTGCCATACTCGGTGAAGGTGGCTGGAGAGGGCTGGTGCTGCTGCCGCTTTGGCTGTACCCACATTTCAGTGAATAGAGAGCATGCCAGTGCTGCACGCGAGGTAATTGTCACCCCTGCTTAACTGGGTTAAAAAGGAGCTGTGGTGACAGCTCTGTGCCTGCCCTTGTTACCAACGCTTACCCATCCAGTAGAATCCAGCCTGACTTGGGGGACGTGCTAATCCTGCTTCTCCTCCGCTCTCCCCGCAGGAGCAGCTCTCTTCACTTCTCCTTCCTCAGCCTGGACAAGCACCGAGAATGGCTGGAGTACCTGTTAGAGTTCGCGCAGGATGCGGCCCCCATCCCAAACCAGTACGACAAACATTTCCTCGAGCGCGACTACACGGGTTACGTCCTGGCTCTGAACGGCCACAAGAAATACTTCTGCCTCTTTAAGCCTCACAGATCAGGGGATGAGGGGGGAACCCTGGCATTGTGCGAGGATTACAATTCCTCGCTACACACAGAAGCCAGAGGGAAATCCTCCTGCAGTCCGGGATCTAGCTCCATTAAAAACAAATTACACAAATTGTCCTTTTGGATGGAACGTCTCCTAGAGGGTTCCTTACAGAGGTTCTATATCCCCTCGTGGCCTGCGCTAGACTGAGGGATTTTAAAGAGATTCTAATGGACAAACTTTTTATGAAGATGACAAGGGACAGCTCTTTCCAGGAATAAACAAACACGCACGACAAATGGACCATAGGTTTTAGATGAACTCTCCTAGGGCCGGTGACTAGAAAATATCTCCCCACATCTGGAGCCCGGGAGCGCAGCCAAACGCGCAGAAATTCCCTCCACTGCCTCCTTTGTGTGTTTGGATGCCGTACTACCGAAGAGCCAAGAAGTCTGTTTTTCCCTTCTTGTCCTGCTGCATCTGCTTCCTGAGTCGCCTTTGTTTCATCTCCCATTTTATCTCAGTTGAAGAAAAACCTGTGACTTCTCTGCCACGGTGACTCAGTGCGGAGCAAAGGCGGCCGGTGACGCAGGTGGGGTCGTGGTTCTCTCTCCCCTCCCTGTGTGCTTAGCTCCATGGTGCATGGTGTGACACTGGCAAGACCCTGCAGACCCTCCCGAAATACCGGCTCTCCCTGTGGTAAGTGATGTAGAACGTGGTCAGGAGCATCGCCCCCATAGCAAACGTGTATCTGGGACTGATCTGTGGTGCAGGCTGGAGATGATCTGCGCATTCCATGCTCCTCGTGTCGTAGTTCCACGCACAGCTTCACCGGTTAAACCATAACAGGGGAGGGGAAGGGGTTTTGCACGGCCGTAACTACTGCCAAGGTGTTGAGCCATTTAAATGTCACGTTGATTTTTTTCAGATGCCTTTCTGCTTCTGTCAATTTTAGATGATGTATCCTAGAGCCATAACTTATTAACCATGTCCTCAGATTGTAGGCGTGAGCTGCTAGGAGCCAGTAGATGTGTAAAAGAAACTCTACCTAGCTGCTAGGGAGTTGCTCCAGGCTCCTTTCCAACACCCTTACATCTGTAGTACAAACCAACCTTTCTTTGTATCAAGGAACCTAACTCTTTGAGGATTGTATTCTTGAAATGTTGCCCCAGAAGTGGTGTATCATCAAACCGTCACTTACATGTGAAGCTCCTTTGGGTTCAGGCGTGGGTTTCAGATGCTTGGTTTCAGCCTCTCACCTCTTTTTCTTTTTGCCACAAACTTTTGTTTCTCAAGGTGCAGGCTGCTGCCTTGGTTGTTAGTTTGTGTTGGGGTTTCTTTTTTTTTTTTGGTCTTTTGGAACTCATAGGTCTGTGTGAAGCTAGAATAGCGGTAAAGCGCAGGCTCTGGGTAGCACTTTGCTCTACCCGTGCTCCAACAGCCACTTTCAACACCACGGAGGACAAGGGTGGCCCCCCCAGGAACACAGAGGGAAGGTGAGCAGCTGCTTTCTGCTCCTCAAGCGACAAAGCAAAGCAGGAGCGTCTCTCTTCGTGGCTGGGACTGAAATCCCGTGGGGTTTGTTCTTTCTTTTCACTGCCTTTTGCCCAGGCTGGGACTTGCGTTGCCTCCTCCCCACGTCCCCACAGCACCGAGTCACTGTCAGGCCCCAGTGCTGCCAACGCACGGGGGCTGAGCAGGGTGGCCTCTGCTGCAGGGCTCTGAACCTGACAGTAGAGCGCTCGGTGGAGCACGTGGTGTTAATTATCAGCTCACTCAGCCCTTGCCATCTTCGTTAGCATCTTAATTAGGAATAACTGCCAATCTCTGAGCTAGCTGCTGATCCCATACACAATCCGGGAATTCTCGAGTCATTTTACTGCCTCCGTGACATCACTGCTCACAAACCCTTGGCTTGCTGCATTCCCCCCCACCCCAGGAGCAGGCTGGTGTGCTTCCACCACCGCAGGTATCCCCAACTTCCATGTACTTCCAAATAAAGGCTGCGATGCTACTGCCTGACCCCCTGAGGTTACTTAATTTCAGCTCAGCAGACCCTGAGCTCATGCTGCTGCAGGAAGGAGGCACTAGAGGGAAGGAAAGAAGGAAGGAGAGGTCTCCTCCTTGCCAAAGAGCTCCGAGGTGCCCAGAGACTGCTGAAATAGAGCAGGAGGAGGAACAATACACTGGCCTAAGGCCCGTAGACTTCATTTTCATTTGGCTGGAGCAATCGCCATAGTGCTCTTGTGCTTTTCCTGCAGCTTGCTGTGCAGGATGTGGTTAGAATAGGTTTTAGCAAACATTTGCAAAAGAAAAGAAAAAAAAAAAAAGAAAAAGAAAAAAGTACTCTCTGGGTCTGCTGTCTCTTCAGCTAGTCAGAAACCGGGAGAAAACCCTTGATACATTAAAAAAAAAAAGTGCCTAGCTATGCTATAGCAAGGGGAATTCAGCCCTGCCCCAAAGGCCTTGTGGTCTTCAAAATACAGTTTGTGTGCTACACACCTGCTGGAATCCTTTTTTTTCATTTTCTTTTTAGCTCAGGTAACCCCCCTGCTAGACTGAGTTTTGTTTAAGGCTTGTTGCAGCAGTCTGCCCTTGCCGGCTGTGTCTGGATGGGAGCACAGCTCCGGTTTAGCTCGAACTCTGCCCTCGCTGCTTTAACCACGTCAGACTTGGCTTGTGTAACTGTTTGATGGAAAAAATTATTTCCTGGGCTGAAGCAAACGCCAAACTGTTCTAACCCCCTCGCTCTGTTAGCTTTAGTGTCCGTGGTGGAGCACGGGGTGCTTGCTTTCTTGCAGAAGAGAATGGTTGGAGGCTGCAGCAGGTGCAAGCTGTCACCCCCCTGCAATGATTTTCTAACCTGCCGCCTCCAGGGGTGTTCTGCCCACATCCTATTGTCAGCGAAACGCACTCACGGTTCTGTTCTGCACAGGGCGGTTGGTAAGCCAAAGATGGAGGAAATTCAGTCCTGGTGAAAGCTGACCAAATGCACACCCCTTGGAAGCTGAAGCTAAGGGATACAGGCCCTGAGCATAAAGGTTTTACCAAAATTCCTCCCTGTACCGAAGTGGTGGCTGCCTGCCTCCACTCTCACCGAAAACCTGCCAGGAACTAGCCCGCTAACGCAGCCTGAGACGTAGGACTGAAAACTAGGAACATATTTTGCACTTTTGATACTGGGAGGGGGGAAATTAACTTATTTGGCAAACTTGTCTTTTTTTAAATTTTTGTTTGGTTTTTGTTTTGTTGGGGTTTTTTTTGTTTTTTTTTTTTTTTGTATTTGTGAACAGGCACTGATGTCATTTGGTTTTAAGACGATTATAGATTCGCAACCAAAATAAACTATTTTAATGTGTGATGCAGTGGCTCTGTGTTTCAGTGTACAAACTAACCTCAACCTCCGTGGCAGCTCAGAAATTCCAGGAGCGATGAAACCGCTCCTGCTGTAGGAGATGCCTGGCTATCCCCAGCAG